GACAATGGATTGCCGTCCAGGTACCATGTAATTGTGAAAGTATATTGTGCAAGTGTATCTGCCGAAGTGCTGAGGGGTTGGAAATTTGGCACACCATCTGCTTGCCAGGTGGTGAACCTTTGGAGTGGTGCTGCCCAGAGCAGTACTTTTTCTTAATTTGGCCAAAGGTGCCCAAAGGTCTGGTGGAGGACTGGCCTTTATCCATGGGATTCTTGAGCAGCTCTGCCTGGCTGGCAGCGGCACTGGTATCATCTAGGGCGGCATCCGGGGCAGCTGACTGAATGCTGTTCCCCAAGACCCAGCTACCCTTCGCTTGCCTTTTGGGTAGATAGTGGTCAGTTACTGCCAATGGGAGATGGCCAGTCTTCCCTTCTATTCTCTTGCCATCTCAGACCACACTTTCCTTGCTGGACAGAAAGGAAGTTATTGGTGGCAAGTTGTTTGCACGATCAGGTTTTCTTCTTCTGGGGTCTTCGGTAGGAAGCTTATGGGACTCTTACTGAATGCTGACATTCCCCGCTTCACTTTCTGGAAGTCAGTGTTCTGATGGCCTCTCTTGTTGTGACTCGGAGAAGTGTTAGCCATCTCCTGACTTGTCCTTAGATCACCTGCACTCCTTTCTTGTTTCTTAGTCTATGTCAACTCAGTAACACAAGGCCCTTTGAGGCCCTCGTTGGCCTCCCCTGGGCCTGGGCCAGTGATGGTTGCAGGGTGGGCAGCAGCCATATTCCAAGGGGTCGATGGCAGAGCTTGTCAGCAAAGTCGAACAGGAGGTATTCTTGTAATTTGAGTTGTTTCCTGATAAAGACTCAAAAGCAAGTTCTGGCAGTTCCAAAACCTTCCTTCCATAGAATGCTGTGTTCAGTTTTTTTTACAGACTCCTTGTCCTTTCCAGGTGCATCTGGTAAAGTAAATTTGTTTTAAGGACCCACAAATGGAGGCTGCCCAGTGGCCGAGGCCATCACAAATCTAACCCTAAGTCAGCCTGCACTTACGGAAACATCTGTCGTGGACACCTAACATATGCCAGTCGTGGTCAACAGCTTTAGTGAGCCTACCTGACCCTAGAAAATAGTTCCTGCTAGCCTTATAAGGTATCCCCCATCTCCTAGCCAGTCGTGCCCTCTTCTTTTGTTGCCTCTTCTAATACCTGTAGGAGCAGGAAAATTTTCCTTCTAGCCTTCTAGATTCTTTGGCTGCGCTAATAATCAAATTGACACAAAGCAAATCAACAGGAGAAAAACTAATTTCATATGTGTGGGATCCCTACAAAAATATGAGAATATGAGACCCAAAAGCAAAGCCAGGTAGTTAAGGCTTATATAAAACATCCTGAGTTAAGGAAGAGAGGAGCAGTTTAGGGATATGCAGTAGAGAAAGGCCATTGACAGGAAAGAAGAGAATGTTTGAAAAACAAAGTTTGTGCTGTTTTACAGATAAGTTTCTTAGGTAAAAAGCTGTCTCTAGTAATAGCTTTCTTCCTGGAAGGGCTGCCTTTCCAAAGTAGTTGTAGGCAGTTGAGGGGGAGATATACACCTTTTCCTGAATCTTCTGGGCATTGATTACCTTTAGCTCAAAGTCTTCATGCCAAAATGGCATGCTTTGGGATGACCAGTTCTCCCCTTTACACTCTCCAGGCTCACTTTGCCCACAGCCCTCGGGAAGAGTGCCCAGTGATGGCGAGGCACAGCATGTCCCCAACCCGTGGATTGTTTTCCCTCAGGCTCACTTTGGACTTGTTCTAGCTTTGTCATTTGAACCTCTCGTGTCCCCTAGATTACCACATCAGTCCTGAATAATGGCCAGGAAGTCTAGGTTGGGGCATGTCCCACTCTTTGTTATTCCTCCCCCTTCCTCCTACACTCCAAAATTTCGAAATGTTCTGGGTTGCTTCTAGAACGGATGGTGCAAGGAGGGGAAGCAAGGAGTCTTGCAGTCTCCTAAAAGGCCGGGTCTATGAGTAAAAGGGGAGGGAACTAAGGTGTGGGTGGGAAAAGAATGGTTTTCAGCGCAACTACAGTCTCCTTGATGAGAACACAGCAACCTGCACCACAGCAAGGTTCTGACACACTCATGAGGAAGCCTCTACCCAGGTGCGCTTACTCCCGGAAGCCTTTGACGTACTCGAAATAGCAAGTACTTGTGTCACTAGCCTCTTGCTCAACCATACACCCCAACAGTTAAAACCAGAAGTAGAGAAGACCCCTTAACTGATGCTCTACCTGAGACCCATTGTTCTTATTTCTGAGACATTGACTAAGATGTTTTGCAGTGACTGGAACATTCCAGCCACCAGGCCAGAAAAGCTCTAAGTGATATAATGCCTAGAAGTCCCTACTCCACACCCACACGTTCCCTTTCCTGCTCATGATCGTGTGCTGAACATCTGCCCACCCCTGTCTATGACCACACGCTGTCTGCTCTCTTAGAAATACCCCCTGAAGCTCTCGCCCCATGAAGAGACGTCTCTTCTGCTGGTGGAGAGGTCAGGTGGTAAGGCCTAAGCCTGCCACCTCCACCTGCTGCCAGCACCCAAAGTAAACCTCTTCCATTCTCTTTTCCAAACCTTTCTCTCCTGACTGCTTCTCTTGCGGTAAGTTTACCTGAGTTTGTTCAGCAGCCTCGTTGGAAAGCTCAGCCAGGAGCTCTGCTTTCTATTTGTTGAGCATCCTTGAGATTGCCTGGGAGGCGACAGTGGAAGCAGGACAGCAGGCCTTATCCATTTTTTTCCCGAGTTAGTGATGACCAGTAACGCTAGTACTGGTTTGTCAGCCTTGGGCAAATCAGTGAACTTATTTTTTTTTCCTTTTTTGAGATTTTACTTATTTATTTGACAGAGAGAACACAAGCAGAGGGAGGGGCAAAGGGAGAGGAAAAAGCAGCCTCCCTGCTCAGGGAGCCTGACAGGGGACTCAATCCCAGGACCCTGAGAACATGACCTGAGCCAAATTCAGACTCTTAACCAACTGAGCCACCCACGCTCCCCTCAGTGAACTTTTCTAAGCTTCAATTTCAACCTTTTTTTTTTTTTTTCAGAGACGGAGGTGGCGGGAAGGGCAGAGGGAGAGGGAGAAAGAAAATCTCAAGCAGACTCTGTGCCCAGTGTGAAGCTTATCATGGGGTTTGATCTCTTAACCTGAGATCATGACCTAAGCCAAAATCAAGAGTTGGATGCTTAACTGACTGAGCTACCCAGGCGCCCCTCATCATTTTTTTCAAAGATTTTATTTATTTATTTGTCAGAGAGAGAGAGAACACGCACGAGAGTGCACAAGTAGGGGGAACAGCAGGCAGAGGAGGAAGCAGGCTCCCCACTGAGCAAGAACCCCAATGCAGGGCTCGATCGCAGCATCCTGGGATCATGACCTGAGCCAAAGGCAGAAGCTTAACTGACTGAGCCACCCAAGCATTGAAACCCCTCATTATTTTTAAAACAGAGATAATAATACTGCCTAGGTTGTTATGAAGATCACACTGAAGAAAGTGCCAGACAAAAAGTACCAATATTACTACATTTTTTTTTGACACTATGATGGTAGTGATTATTATTTTAAATACCACTAGGGAAGAAGAAAATTCTGTCAGTTACCCACAGCACATCATTTTCTTGTCAGAAAATTTCTTCACATTGAAACAGATTTATTTGGACAGATTTTTATAATAAATCATCCTTGTACATTGGTAAAAAGGAACTATAAGTGAATATAAATTAAGGTATTCTTAAATTTCCCTACAGTCTTGATCTACTGCTGCTGAATCATTTGTTAAGGCAGTTAGTGCTATCAGAGTTTTTCCCACACAACATTGCCTGTGTATCATCGTGAGCACTGGGGATGCAATATTTCTTAGAAGAGTGCTTCATACTGTCTTTCTTCCAAGCCAAGATTACCAGTTCTGCGTAATCAATATGTACGCACAAGCACTGGCGTCTATTCCTGCCCAGTGCTTGGCCAACTTAAGACATCCTGATTCCAGGGGTACTACAAGTATGAAAATATGTAACTGTTAGAATTGACAAAATATAGTACTGTCACTGATTTCATCTTATTTCATAGGTTTGGGTTTGTAAGGGCAGCAAGTGTTGGGGACAAAAAATTTCCTCTGCCATTTAAGGTCCTTCTAGCTGGACTAAGAATCAGATTGTCAGGAAGCAGATTAACAGGAGGAAATCAAATTTAATAATGTACATATGGGGAATCCACACAGGCATGGAAATTCCAAAGACAGTCAGGCAGTATGAGGCTTATATGATGAGCTAAAGAGAGGGGAAGGGATCTGAGAATACCAAGGGAGAAAGACCACTAGCAGGAAGGTGAAAGGTGGTGTTTGGAAACCACAGGCGCCCTATAATGTAGAGAAATTTCTTAGGTAAAGAGCAATCTTTGTTAATAACTCTCTTCCTGGGGTGCCTGGTGGCTCAGTTGTTGAGTATCTTGATTTCAGCTCGGGTCATGATCCCAGGGTTGTGGGATTAAACCCCACATCAGGCTCTGTGCTCACTGGGGAGTCTGCGTGAGGTTCTCTCCCTCTCTCTCTCTCTGCCCCTTCCCCTGCTCACACACATGTGTGTTTGTGTACATGTGTTTGCTCTCTTTCTCTCCCAAATAAATCAGTAAATCTTAAAAAAAAATAGCTGTCTTCCTGGTACAAGTAGGCAGTTGAGAGGAGATAGAGTTTCTCCTGAATCTGCTGGGTTTGGATTGCTTTTAACTCAAAACAGTGTTCATGCACAAGTGGCCCATTTTGGGGCTGCCTGCCCTTGGACCCTACAAAAGCGTGAAAGCCTCTGCCTCATCCCAGGAAGTGTCCTTTCTGTTTGCACAAACTTAGAGTGGACTGTTTGCCTGGAATATGACCCTGCGGTGTTAACAGGATAGGCTTCCCAGTGAGATGGATAAGTCATAGAAATTATCTTGTGTGTTTCCTCATTTACCTATTCTTTTTCTTTTATCTCATTTATTTATTCTTCTTCCTGTCTGCTTTCTGATTTTCCTTTGAAGTTCTTAAGTTCAAATCCAGTTCCTAAGAAACATCAAAGGAAGCCTGCACCAGAGGCCTCCCAGGGTCTCCTTGGAAGCTGGACTCCATCCACTGTGTGAGACGGAATGGCACCCCCCACCAGTGTGCTCTCCTCTTTACTGCTGCTGGCCACTGTTGCAGGTAGGAAACCCTCACCCTGGAGACCCTAGCATCACACATGAGCTTCCTGTCTTTGGCTTAAACAACTCAGATCAGAAACAAAACCTAGGGGATGAACCTAGGGGAAGGGAAAGAGGAATAAAATAAGACGAAATCAGAGAAAGAGACAAACCATAAGAGACTCTTAATCATAGGAAACAAACTGAGGGTTGCTGGAGGGATTGGGGGTGGTGGGATGGAGTAACTGGGTGATGGGCATGAAGGAAGACACATGATGTAATGAGCACTGGGTGTTAAGACGGATGGATCACTGACCTCTACTTCAGAAAGTAATAAACAACGAAACAACTCAGATCAACCTGAAATGAAGGTGCTATGTGTTTGCTTCCCAACAGAATTATTTTACATGTAAAAGGCATAAAGTCCAACCTCATGCACCAGTGGTTTTCTGGAAACGGGAATTTAAATAGTTTTTTTATTGTCATGATGAGGTAGGCAGAGAGACAGGCAGAGAGAGAGGAGGCTCTGAGCAGGGAGCCCGGTTCGGGACTCCATCCCAGGACCCCGGGATCATGATCTGAGCTGAAGGCAGAGGCTTTAACCCACTGAGCCACGCAGGCACACCTGTCATGATGATTTTTGAAAACATAAGGTCACAGTTTGTATATACTAGGAAAACTTTATATATTTATTTAAAATAATTGCATAGTAGATCTTTTGGAAAGCAAATGACCACACTCTTTTATCATAAATCTTTATTTTCATATATTCCGCTCTGCTTGCTCAGTGTGGAAATACCCATGACAGGAAATCACTGGTGAGCTGCTGTGCTGGTGATCGGTGTCCTGGCTTGGCCCCTTTGAATTTACCGAGGACTGAGAGTAGAGATAGGGCCGGGGAAACTAAGTTTGTGCACGGGGATTATCCAAGTGTGGTGAAGCCATAATGAGGCTTACCTGTGTTAAAACAGAAATTCAACTGAGTAAATTTAAAGATCTAATTAGCTTTATTCATGGATTCGTGACCTGGGCAGCATTCCATTGAGAAGGTAGAAGGGAGCTTGAAGGAGCTGTACAAAATGGAATGATTTTACAGGGAGAAGTAGGCAAGGTCACTTTTTCTCAGGGGAAGTCAGAGAGTCTTACCATGCAGATGACCTCAGGTGTCGGATCTACACTGTCCGGACTAAGGAGTTTCAGTTGCATTCGTGGAAGCGGCAGAATCTGCAGTTACAAATAGGTCATCTCAGTAGAGCTTAACGTAAGTGATTCCATTTTGGGCCTGTTTCTTTTTAACACGGAGAGTGATCTTTGTTAAAATGCAGTTTCCTCTGCTCCAGGCCTACGGAACCAGAACGCCTAGCAGGCGTGGCTCAGGGGTCCGAAGCAGCTACACCATTAGAAGCACTGTTGTAGAACATGGAGGGGCCCCCTCAGAAAACCCTGCCACTGGAGAAGCCCTGTCATTCCCCCAGAGATTACTAATATTTGAACACTTTTTTCCCCCTCCCAAATCCCCACTTTTTCATTCCTTTCTGTCTTTTTCTTGTGATTTTTCCATTAATTTAAAATTCTTGAATTACTTTATTAGTAACATTATGGCAGTTTGCCTGTCTTCCCTCTCTGTCCACTCTACCTTTAACAAAATGCTAACCAATGATTTTACCGATTTGTCAGCAATCATGGAGTGACTATGATCCTAGATTGGGCGGGGACAATGGTAGAGGGTATGAACATGGGTGAGTCTTCTCTGGTCTCTTCAAGAGCTTTTGTGGAGTGAGTCTGAGAGAGTCTGAAGTAATTACGGCCACTTGGCCCAAGAGGAGCATGGTTTAGTTGTTAGAAACCCTCTCAGACTTCTTCATTGAGCACTAAGACCTCTGCGTTAGGTACTTCTGTCCATACACATCATTCAGGTGATGTTTTTGCAAAACAAAGGGATTATGTACTCCCAGAAGTGTATGGCAGTTTCCACCTGATTGAAAACTGCTTTAAGCTCTTCCAAGGCTTCTGCCATGGCCAGTTCTCTGTAGACACTGAAACAGTTTGCTTGCTTTAGGAGCAAAACCTGCCTTCTGGATAGTGGTTTCTGACAGTTTTATAAGTAGCTTTTGAGCTGCCTGGTGGCCAACACCAGAAATGAAACAAGGCCGTTTCTGTGGCTCACACTGTCCAAAAGAAGATGACCTCACAATTTTTCCAGGGAAATGAAGCACATCTTACCATGTGTGTTTGAAAGAAGTTTCTAGCGTGGGTCTTCATTTAAAGGCCACTCAGATATGTAGTGGTATCTTTACAAATAAAGGCAGTATTTTTGAGAGTATAGGTGGGAGTCAGAGATTAACTGTCTGCTGTACACCCTTCATCACTTGGTTTTAATTAGAGATTTTTTTTTTATGTTCAGCTGGAGGTCTTTTTTCCCTCTCTATATCTGATATTAAGCTTTTTGTTAGAAAATAAAAGCTGAAACTACTAAATAGATTTGCATTTGAGAAAATATCCTTCCAGTTGAATTAAAATAGTTCGTTGCTAGCTTATTCATTTGGAAAGATGCATATCTATTACATCTAATTCCTCTTAAATTGGACCAATTAGACTTTCCTATAGAGTCAGTGTTTGACACTGACCAATTCTTAAAAGTGTATAATGATGCTCATGTGTACACAGGTAAAAATAAAAGGGACTCCATTTCTCTTCCCTCCAGTTAGAAGTGCTCTCTGATTGTCACTATGAGGAAAGTAACAGTAGTTTAAAAAATTGTCAGTGACGAGCCTTCACAAGTAAAGAGACCTCTACCAACAAAGAATAAAAGTGACTTTGCCTTTGGCTTTCGGGGAATGAGAGACTGCTGCAGAAGGTTCTGAAAGTGCCACTTGCTGTCACTGTGTCTCATGGGCCTGCACCACTGCATCTGCAGAACACAGCTGGGGTGGGGGATAGCATTGCCCTCACACCTGCCCAGTTTGCTGACTGGAAATATTTGTAGCTATTTAGAATCTGATTAGAGCTAGTTGCTGCAGAGGTGCCCGGGTGGCTCAGTCGGTTAAGCAACTGTTTTCAGCTCAGGTCATGATCCTGGTCTAAGGGTCCTGGGATCGAGCCCCACTTCTTTGTCTCCCTCTGCTGCTCCTCCTGCTTGTGCTCTCTGTCTTTCCCTCTCTGCTAAATAAAAAGTAAACCCAGTGATGGGTATTAAGGAGGGCAGGTATTGCATGGAGCACTGGGTGTTATATGTAAATAATGAATCATGGAACACAACATCAAAAACTAATGATGTGGGACGCCTGCGTGGCTCAGTGGGTTAAAGCCTCTGCCTTCAGCTCAGGTCATGATCCCAGGGTCCTGGGATCGAGCCCCGCATCGGACTCTCTGCTTAGCAGGGAGCCTGCTTCCTCCTCTCTCTGCTGGCCTCTCTGCCTACTTGTGATCTCTGTCTGTCAAATAAATAAATAAATAAAATCTTAAAAAAAAAAAAACAAAAAAACAAAAAAAACTAATGTACTATATGGTGGCTAACATAATAAAAAATAATAATTATTTAAAAATTCTAGAGGGGGAGCAAAAAAAGAAAACCAAAAGACTAGTTGTTATAGACCTATACTGAGGACAAATTTTTCTCTCCTTTGATATTTCCCTGTCAGTTGAGCTATCATCAGAATAAGCTGTGAGATTTAAAAAAAAAAAAAGAATCAGGGGCATCTGGGTGGCTCAGTCATTAAGCACCTGGCTTCAGCTCAGGTCATGATCCCAGAGTCCTGGGATCGAGCCCCACGTAGGGTGGGCTCCCTGCTCAGCTGGAAGCCTGCTTCTGCCTCTCCCACCCTGCTTGTACTCCCTCTCTTGCTGTGTCTCTCTCTGTCAAATAAAGAAGTAAAATCCTTTAAAGAAATCAGTTTAACAACAGCAATAATGTGATATCCCTAAACTAAACCTTTATAACAGAATTTTGGGTGAGGAGCAAAATATTATAAATAATAGAAAAGCAGCACACAGATGGAAAAGGATGCTTCTGGGCCCCCCGTGAGAGAACATGGAGAGAGAGAGGATGGAGCATCCATTGGGCAGGTGGGTGAGCGTCAGGACAGGTGCGGGGTGGAGGGGCCGGACGGGAGGAGGACGTGTGGATGGGTGTGGCAATGGGGGGGACTGTGAGGTACGGCAGGGGAATTTCTGCTGGAAATGCTGGTTGTTTATGGGCTGGCCAGACACAACTTGGCTCCTTTCCTCATCAGAGACTGTGTCCTTTGCAGGTTGTGCCTGTGGCCCGTGCAGCGAGGGGAGGACATTCGCCAATGCCATCATTTCACCAAACCTGGAAACTACCCGAATCGCATGGGTGCCTCAGACCAGCCCCGTGGCGGACTGCATGGCCGCGTGCTGTGACCTGGCCCTCTGTGACCTGGCCTGGTGGTTTGAGGGCCGCTGCTACCTGGTGAGCTGCCTTCGCTCCGAGAGCTGTGAGCCCAGGGAGATGGGCTCTGTCAGGTCCTACCTCACCTTCGTGCACAGGCCGGCCCGCAGGCCCTTGCAGCTGCTCCACTACAGGGAGATGGTGCTCCGCAGGAGGTCCCGCTCGGGACTCTGGGGGGACTCTCCTGAGGGTCTCAGAAAGGACTTGTCTCCTCTGGGCCCCGCTCTCCGCCTGAGAAGGGCGTTGGAGTACTCTGATGACTACAGGGACCCTGAGCAAGATCCCTTCCAGCCCCTCAGCAAGCAGGAGCCCAGAGGCAGTGTCGAGTACACCGACTGGGGCCTGTTCCCGGGCGGCCCCTCTGCTGGAGATGGCCTGCCCTGGGCCACCGAGGAGCAGGAGGACCCTGAGTGGGGCCCAGAGGAGATGTCGGAGTACTCCGATGACTACAGGGACCCTGAGCAGGACGCCTTCCAGCCCCTCAGCAAGCAGGAGCCCAGAGGCAGTGCCGAGTACACAGACTGGGGCCTGTTCCCGGGCAGCCCCTCTGCTGAAGAAGCCCTGCCCGGGGCCGCCGAGGAGCAGAAGGATCCTGTGCTCCGTCCGCTGAATGGGTCAGCACGGACCCCGACCCCAAAACAATCCTCGGAGAGCAGGACGTCGCCCTGGGTGACAGCTCCACCTTCCAGAGAGGCCTTGGGAAAGGAGACCATTGGGCTCCAGTACGCACCCAGCAGTGGCTCTGGGGAAGAGGTGGGCCGGGTAGCTCAGGGTGGGCGGTGCGTGGAGGGGATGTGCGGGCGGGAGGCCGGGGGCTGGACACATCAGAATGTAGCCCTCACAGCCTCCGGGAGCCAGACGCATCTTGTTCCTCTGCTGCGCCTTCGGGACCAGAGTGTGAAAAAGAACTGTGTTTCTGCTCTCACAAGCCAGTCATCTCATGATGATGACTCGGCACTTCTCCCGTGGGATGCCTCTCCCAGTATCCCCAGGGAATAAGGATCTACAGACGTCCCAGCAGGCGGTCTGTAGACACGGCACACTTCCCCAGAGAAAACTCCCAGGCTCCCAGTGCAGTCATCAGGGCCCCTTCCCCAAACCAGGGCTTAATACCCAGCCTGACTGCGGTTAGCCTTCCCCAGGGACGCAGTCTCAGTTGGTCCTTCTGCAACTTCCCAGCCTGCACCAGTGAGGTAAGCCCCTAATGAGATCCTCTGGTTCCCCAAAGGGAGGAGACCTTCCCTGAAATAATCCCTTTTTGTTGTTGTTTACAATTGCCTTGTCCTGCATTTAAAAACTTCTCCTTCCTGTAACCCTTTAGAGCTTACTATTGCTAGATAGGGCGCTGCCCAATTCATGAATCATTCAGTAAGCCCAGTTAGATCTCAAAAACATACTTGGTTGAATTATTATTATTTTTTTTAAGATCTTATTTTTAACCAATCTTTTCACCTAATGTGGGGCTTGAACTCACAACCCTGAGATCAAGAGTCACATGCTCCACTGCTGAGCCAGCTGGAAACCTGGAATTGTTAATTAACAGATTTGGCGGCAGTCACAGGGTTGGGGGCCCAAAGTGCCCTGCTGACGGCATTCAGGGACCATGAGAAACACAGCCGTGGCACTTGTGGGCCCATGGCACTTGTGGACCCCTTCCTTTCTCAGTTCTCTTTCTTGCCTTTCCCCAGGGCCTCAGGAGAGCCTCCCTCGGTCTGGACTCGGCTCTCCTTGTGTTAAGCTCCCAATCTCACTTGCTTTCCAAAGTTCCCTGTCTGTTTGGAATCATTAGCCCCACACTGAGAACTGATGTGATCTGTGAGGTCCCAGAGCAAACCATCAAGACAGAATTCTTGAGATATTTTCAGTGAAAAAGAGGTGGTTTTATCCAAATTCTGGGACAGGACCCTTGGGCAGAAGGAGCTGCACTGGGATTGTGAAGAGCCATTGGTAATAGACTTTGAAGTTGAAGGAGTAGAGACAAAGGAAGTTTTCCAAAGGATTGGAAGGGGGTTGTGTTGGTAAGAGTTTGCCATTGGCAGAGGCGACTATGACTTCGGGGCTGTAGTCCTTCCACGCGAGCAGCAGGTGTGCCCTGTGCACCCAGCGCTTCCGAATGTGGAGACCCCCTGTCTTTCAGCCAGGCCGCGTCCACTCAGAACAAGACGAGCATGCGCACGCCTTACTAGAGCCTCAGTGAGCAGGTGACAGTGCAGCGTCCCAGCCAAGAGAAGTCCTGGGCGCAATTCCAACATCTCCCAATGTGGAACCCTGGCTGGGGAAGGGGTGCGACCGGCAGACCTCAGCCCATGGGGGCTATAGCTGCCCCTGGGCCCGAACCAGGGTAAGGGCTCCAGTCAAATGGGGGGCTGTGGTCCAGACGGTCGGCAGTTCTTGGTGTGCAGGACAGAGGCAAAAGGAAATTCATGTAAAATTCAATGTCCTTACCTCTTGCAGCCCCTGACAATACTGGAGGCGGGCAGTGTGTGACAATCCTCCAGGAAGCTCCCAACTGTCTTCAGGCTAGTGCTAGAGTCAAAAACCACCTTAGCTTGAGGCTAGGCTGGCCCCCAGGACCCTGGGAGTCTTCTTTAAGTTCTGACAATCCTTTGGAAAACTTCCCTTGTCTCTACTCCCCCAACAATTAATGAGTTTAATCAGTTATAATTGTTTTACAAGCGAGTCCACTGAACCCCAGATTCATAGATCTAGAACATTGAAATAAATATGCAAATGGAGGTAGAACTGGTTTTTCTAGGAGAAAGTCTACATGTCTATAGACAAGAGTTATTTTGCAGTATTATCAGTTACCTACAACTGGTAAAGTTGTACAATAGCTCAAATACAAGAAAGTCTAGAACCAGAGAACTGGGAGAACCTATAGACAGTAGTTTATTTTACACTGAAATACAAATTTTGCCCTACATTCTAATTAAGTTTTTTTGAACTGAAGGGAGTTGTAAATAATCCTTGAATTCGTGTTGATAAACATTAGATCTGCAGCATAAGAAATATAATTTTATTCTCCTAAAGTAAGAAGCTTGGAATTAATGACAAAAACAAAGATTTCTCTCACCAAAAAAGTATTTAAAATAACACAATTGTATTAAATAAAGGTGCCCAGAAAATTCCATGGGGTAAAGAATAGTCTTTTCAACAAACAGTACTAGGACAACTGGATATTCCGGTACAAAAATTGAATTTAGATCCCTACCTTGCCCCCCACCTCCAGCATCTCTCCTTGTCTTTGGTAGAATGGCTTCCTTTTACTTAATTAACTTAACAGCATTGATCTTTAGGAAAATGCAAATCAAAGCCACAGTGAGATACTCCTTCCCCTGGGTAGCTAGAATTTAAAAGAAAAAGAACAACTATTAGTAAGGATGGAGAAATGAGAACCCTCAGGCACTGCTGGTGGGAGAATAACATGGTACAGGCCCCGTGGGAAGTCGTCCAGCAGTTCTTCAGGAAGATAAACTTAATGGGGCACCCAGGCGGCTCAGTTGGCGGAATGTCCTAATCTCAAGGTAGTAAGATCAAGCCCCAGCCAGCGGCCCTGTGCTGAGCATGGATTCTGCTTAGGATTCTGATTCCGTCTCCCTCCCCCCTTCCCCAGCCTCTGCTGGCACATCCACTCTCTGTCTCTAAAACAAAACAAAACAAAACAAAAACCTTAAAAAAAAGATAAACCTAGAGTCACCGTATGACCCAGCCATTCAACCTCTAAGTCTTTACGCAATAGGAACGGAAACATTTGTGCATACAAGGACGCGTAGCAGCAGCATTCATAAAATAGTGTGACCAAGTAGAACATACTCAAGAACTTTGAAACAAATGCAGATTAAATTTGTAGAGGATAAATGATGTTTCCTGCAGTTTTGTTTTTAAGTAGGCAAGATCAGACAGATGCATGTACAAGAAGTTGTTTAGAAAGTAATTAAGAGGGGCGCCTGTGTGCCTCAGTGGGTTAAAGCCTCTGCCTTCGGCTCAGTTCATGATCTCGGGGTCCTGGCATTAAGCCCCACATGGGGCTCTCTGCTCGGCGGGGAGCCTGCTTCCCTCTCTGTCTCTGCCTGCCTCTCTGCCTGTTTGTGATCTCTCTCTGTCAAATAAAATCTTAAAAAAAAAAAAAAGTAATTAAGAATAGAAAAAAGAAATGGGACATTTGAGACTCTTGTTGACGGGGCCAGGCTATAAACTGAAGGCCAAAATGGGGGGTGGGGGGACCCACTGCTTCCACAGAGGATCTGTTTTCTTTGGGTGGGGTATGTCAAGGAGGACCTGCGTGCTGATGGCCCACTCAGAAGCTCTGTGTGGAGGTCACGGAGACAGGGCCCAGGAGTGCGTGAGGAACTGGCAAGGTCTTCCAGTCTAGAGAGGCGCCATGAGTGGGAAGGAAGTGGTCTGGACTGGAGGCAGGAGTGGACTTGTTGTCCCCTCAGCCATGACCTGGTGGTGGCTGTGAACCCTTCGAGAGGTACCTTAATGTTTCCCTCCACTGTCTGTGGACTCTGTTCTTTATTTCAACTTGGTGGTAATTTTTCAGGACTCTCTAAAACTAAACAGAACTGGTTTATCTTTACAGAGGCTGTGGGGTCTCCCGATTGGATAGGGGGGCCACCAAAGTGGGGCAGGCTGGTCAGGTGGAGGCCGGGGCCTGGGCAGTGACGAAGTCACGCAGAGTAGAGCAGAGGGGGTGGACGTTTACTGAATGCCTTGCAGGGGAGCGGGGGGCAGGACAGCAGAGCAGTGCTGGGGGCTGTAGCTACAGGGGAGGGTGGGGAGGGCACGGGGAGGTGTGGGGACGGATGCAGTTTTCCCTTTCTGGTACCCGTGTTCATGTGTTCGTAGCCCGTTGGTCACCTGGGCTTATGGATGTTTCCGGGTGGCTCGCCTTGGAGCCTGCCTATTCAGCCGGGGGTTGGGGGTCACTGTTGGCCCTCCTACCTCACTCAGGCTTCCGTTGTTCCCGGAATTTGCTGTGGACGGTTTTACCAGTTATCTGGTCCTCCCTGGCGCTTTAGGAGCCGCGGTGTCTGGTATCCAGTGAGTATTTGCAGTGACGCCAGTGACCAGGTGTCCAGTCACAGGAGGTGTGCTGGGTCCGCACGTCCCTCAGCTTTAGCAGGGTCACCAGCGTGCGATTTCCGTGGACACCACTGGCCCCTTCCCTGGCGCACGTCGGACTTAGAGCTCTGCTCTCTGTGATTTCTCGCCGCACCTTGCCCCCTGGGTCTCGTGTGTTCTTAGCCTGACTTTCACTTCCTTAGCCCTGTGGTCCCTGACAGATGCACCTCAGAAGAAGCATTTTATTATCATATGATGAAACTTTCCTCTCCGGCACATCGTATATAATTTAAAAACTCTAAGTTAGCTGGGGCGCCTGGGTGGCTTAGTCAGTTAAGCGTCTGACACTTGGTTTCAGCTCAGGTCATGATCTTCGGTTGTGGGATTGAGCCCCGCATCAGGCTCTATGCTTAGTGGAATCTTCTTCTCTACCTCTCCCGCTACCCCTCCCCCACTCAAATAATTAAATAAATCTTTAAAAAAGAAAAAACCTTCTAAGTTGGCTAACTAGAACTAGAACTTCCAGTTACAGTTTATACACAATAGACGGTACAAATAGAGATTATTTACTCTAGAAGCCTGGTTGTTGAATTACCAGATTGCCTTCAGTTTTTGCCTTACTGACTAGTTTAGAAGCCCACTACAGTTATTTTCTCTCTTTCATCTCGAGTGATTGCCTGTATGTATTCACTTATAATAACTGTCTACCCCACAGTTTTCTTACATTTTTTTAAATAGATAGCAGAGAGAATATTTGAAAGAGATGGTCTAGGGATGCCTGGGGGGGCTCAGTCAGTTAAGCGTCCACCTCTTGGTTTCAGCTCAGGTCATGATCTCAGGGTCCCGAGATCGAGCCCTGTGTCAGGCTCTGCACTCAGTGGGAAATCTACTTGATATTCTTTCTCCTCTCCCCACCCCCACTCACACACACATGCACATATCCTTGTTCTCTCTCATGAATTAATAAATCTTTTTTTTAAAAAAGAAAGAGATGGTAGCATTCTGTGATAGTAGACATGGTATTTTGAAGACCATTTATGTAAAAGGTCCATGACATTGTGTTGCTCAACGAGGTCAACAATTTTTTGTTTGGTTTGGTTTTTTTCTTTCTTTCTTAACAGTTTGTCTTTGTGATTGATCTTCTAGGTTCTAATGCCTTCCCGTCATCCTTCTCCAGCCAGACTGGAATTCAGCCCAGCCTCTACTGAGGAGAGCCCACTTCTCACAGTCCCCACAAGGAGCCCAGATCATGGCTCCCCAACCCGTCCTGCTAGCCTCACCCCTGCTGAGCCCACCCCGTCAGAGCAACCTGCATCTCCGACCACTGCTCCCCGGACAGGTAACTGTGGGAACAATACAGCTGGAAGAAAAGTAGCAAACCATGCTGTCAGATTACACTAGGGCAACGGTAAGGTTTGCTCATTCCCTCCCAGCGCGTCGTCAAGCCTCTCTCCTGTGCTAGAAACAGTGCTCCACACCAGCCACGAAAACACGAACTTCCTTTTCCCTCAGTGATCTGTAAGGCAGCAAATGCGAGTGACAGGCGAATAGCTGGTTTTCATATCCTGTGGTAAGTGCTGTGACAGGTGCGATGGGAGTGGAGGGAGACACCCCGCCTGACCTTTCAGAAGGGCCAGAAAAGCCTTTCCAGAGGCATTGATACTGGATAGAACAAGCCAGCTGACATGGGGTTGGTGTGTTGTTCAGGTCAGGGCAGCGATGTGTTAAAGCAATAATGATGGTTCTAGTCGGTGAGGACCCACCGAGCGCGGGGCACTGTGACATTTTTGGGAGCGCTGTCAGGAGGTCAGTCTGGCTGGAGCTGGGCATGTGAGTGAGAGGGAAGGGCAAGGCGTGAATCCGGAGTGGTAAGGGTAAGACTTTGAAAGACCTGTAATGTGTACTAAGGAATTTATGCTTTATCGGGTAAGTGTGGACAATCTCTGAATGAGTTTAAGCAGGAAAATGAAATGATGAGATTTGTTTTCAAGAAAATAATGTGGAGTTGACTGGAGACAAGAAGATGCATTAGGACTAGAGGGGAGTGGTCGCAAGGATGGGGAGACAGAAGCAGCCCGAAGAGCTCTCATGGGGCTGCAATCACTAGGATTTGGTGAGTGGCTCACTGGCAGGACCCGAGGACTCTGAGATCAGTGAGTGTGTGGGACCAGAAGCTAGATGAGCAGCAGGCCAAAGATGGAGGACCAGGCGTCATCGGCACAGAGGCGATGACTGAAGGCTTAGGGCACACGTGGGACCTTCCGGGGATGGTGGTGGGTGAGCTCGAGAGAGGCCTGGGCAGGAACTTGGAAGATGTCATTATATCAGGAGCTAGAGGGCCAGAAGGAGTCTGCAGAGCTGGCTGAGTGGTCTTGCCAGAGAGGCTGGACATGAGGAGGAGGGCATGGGCTGAGGGAAGGAGAGAGGCTTCCATGTAGGAAGGTGTCATGAAAGAGCCAGGGCTCGCAGAGACCATGGGCAGCACTGAGGAGCTCCCATTAGAGTTACTAACGAAGGCGATACTGGAGACCTGTTTCCCAAGCCGTTCTGTGGGGATGACCCTCTCTGCTGTGTTGATTTACTTTGATCCTGAGCTAGTGTACAGAGAAAGGTAATAGCAGAAGAGAAGCTGTGTGGTGTTTAGGGAGAAGGAAACCAGCCTGGGAAGTAGGATTCTTGGGTTCTCATAGGACCTGTTCAGGGAGGTGTTACAAGCTCAGAAGCGATCATTTTAAAGTCCTTGGAGCCGAGCTTGGCACAGTGTAATCTGGTATGTGTGTTTGTTGAAATAAATACATTTAAATTAATTATTGGTGGGTCTCTTATTGTTAGCTATTCGTATAACTTTGAGCAATTACTTGACCTTTATAGGGCTCGGTTCTCTCATCTGTAAAATGATAGGTTGGGACCAGTGTCGCCTCTGTGTGGACAGTTGCTGTATTTCAAGGCAAAGAGTTGGGAGAAAGGAGCCCGAGACACCCAGGAGGCCCCTACAGCTGGCCCAGGAAGGTACTTGAAGGATAGGGTACCGACTTTGAGGACAGGAGCAGGCTTAAGCAAGCCACCTGGCTCCCCAGCATCTCCAACGAGCTGAGACGTCTTGAGCACTCTGCTTAAAAAACAGAAGAAACCAAAGCAAAACTCTGCTTTTCTCTGGGTAATGTCTTGACATGTCCCAACTGTATTTCACAAGCGAGACTGAAGCCAGCTGAACACAGCAGCGTTCTGCTGGTTATAGGGAAGGAGAATGAATGTGGTCCTGAGAGCTGTTTTCATGGTAAGTGCTTTGGACGAGAATGAATGTCCCATGGCCTGAGTTAAAATTCCCTTTTTATGGAGGCTGGCTGGGTTTTCTCTTGGAAAGCTTCCAAGAGCAAAGCCGGCCGCGGTAATTCACGAGGCTGCTATCAGAAATGAGCAGCATGTGACTTATGATAGAGAAACACGATTACACTCAGTTTTTAAATGAAAATAGCACATACCAGGGAGTCAAGAAGTGCTGACGGTAAGTGAGAAAAGAGAGCCAACCCACAAAGGACCCTTGTTACCCAACACTGTGCTCAGTCAACCCAAATCACTTTCTTCACTTTGTCAATGCCCATGGATGAATGAAAATTTACGAAATCTGGCCTGCAATGGAATATAGGTCATGGTATGGTTACTAGCCAGAGGAAGGATGTGTCTTAAATAAAATCAGAGAGAGAACGATTACAAAAATATGTTCTGTTATCTTATCTAAAAAAAATCTAGGGGCACCTGGGTGGCTCAGTGGGTTAAGCATCTGTCTTCGGCTCAGGTCATGATCTCAGCGCCCTGGGATCCAGCCCCGGGTCAGGCTGCCTGCTCAGTGGGGAGCCTGCTGCTCCCTCTGCCTCTCCTCTCTGTCTCTCGTGAATAAATAAAATCTTAAAAAAATGAGTAAATAAGTAACACATCTGTCGTCGGGCAGTAATATAACATCATTATTGTGCATAAAGGACTGTACTGTTTCCAATCAACTTGCAGTGAAAGAACTCTTGGTGTGGGCTGGCGAGAATCGAATCGTGACTTTGCCGGAGCGCGAGGTGGAACTGAAGGCTTCTGTCGTGCCCGCGCCGCCTGCAGGTGAGAGCTTGCCTCCCCTCAGTGACAGCGGGGGCCGGGCAGCCGGGCGCCCTCCGCCCATCTTCGAGGGTTACTCAGCAGCACGGCAAGAGGTCGCCACCGAGGGCCAGAGGGTGCGGACGAGGCTTTGGTGCTCATAAGCACTCAACCCTACGGAAGTAGCTGAAAGTGGAGGGAAAACGTGGGAAACTGACCACAGGAATGAGCCTTCGTCAGTCAGGACTCAAAGTCACGTGTTGCTGAGGATTCGAGGCGAGAGGCGTGTTAGAGCAGGAGAGGTGCCTCTGTTTCCCTTCCCAGTGACCCTGCCTCACCTTCCGCAGGGGTGCGGTGCGGCAGATACGGTCAGCTGAGCCCCTCGGGGGCAGTGAGCACTCAGGCCGCCACCTGCCCACAGGACAGTGCATTTGTATGAACTAGACACAGGGGCCCTTAGCGCGGGTGGGCACAGCCTGCACACCCGAGGAGGCCCACCTCTGCCTGCTCTGCCTCCCAGCCAGCCCTCGGGCTTTGCACATTCCGCCTGAGTGTTACTCCGCCGGGAGCGTGGTGTTGGGGTGGGGTGGGGGTACCTGCGGTCGAAGAGTTAAGCCCCAGGTGACCGTCCTAGGAGCTGGAACCGTACTCTGCTCCTCCTCGCCTGCAGCTACCACTCATGGTCTGTGATGATGCCCTGTGTTATTAATACCCATGGCTCCTGAGCCTGCGCTTGCCTGCGGGAAAGTAAATCTTCAGACAAGCCCCTAAAACTTAACAGGAAGGTTCCAGAACTTTGGAAAATAATCTCCACAGTTGAGGTCTGTGGAGGTAGGATAAATGTCTTTTTCTTTTTTCTTTTCTTTCTTTTTTTTTTTTTTTTAAGATTTTATTTATTGGGACGCCTGTATGGCTTAGTTGGTTAAGCGTCTGCCTTCAGCTCAGGTCTTGGTCCCGCGGTCCTGGGATCGAGTTCCACATCAGGCTCTCTGCTCAGCAAGGAGTCTGTTTGTTCCTCTCCCTTAACCCCTCCCCTCTGTGTGTGCTCACTCTGACAAATAAATACAATAAAATAAGATAAAATAGAAAACAAAGATTTTATTTATTTGAGAGGGAAAGTGAAAGCGCAAGAGAGACTGGGCAGAGGGAGGAGCAGACTCCCCGCGGAATGGGAAGCCCCATGCAGACTCGATCCTGGGACCCTGGGATCATGACCCAAACCTAAGGCAGATGTTTAAGCGACTGAGCCACCCAGGCGCCCCAGGATAAACACCTTCTGACAGGATGTTTAAAACCAACTTTTATTTATTTATTTTATTTATTTTTTAAAAAGATTTTATTTATTTATTTGACAGAGCAAGATCACAAGTAGGTGGAGAGGCAGAGGGGGAGGGGGAAGCAGGCTCCCCGCTGAGCGGAGAGCCCGATGTGGGGCTCAATCCCAGGACCCTGAGATCATGACCTGAGCCGAAGGCAGAGGCTTAACCCACTGAGCCACCCAGGCGTCCCTATAACCAACTTTTAAAAAGCAGATGATTTAACAGGGTTATGATCTGTGCTCAGTCAGTGTCCTTTTCTTTCTCACACAGCCAGAAGAGTCAACCTGCCCCCCACAGCAGTGGTGTCTCCCCAGACGCAAGCGCTCACCCTGCCTCTGACGTCAGCCTTCATCGACGGCAGCCGTGGGTATCTGTGACACTCAGGGCCTCTCTGCCCTGCGTGCTGCAAGGTTTCGTGGTGCTGGGAGGGCTCACACACCTGTGCGGACACAGGGGCATCTCTGTCGTTGGGCGTGTGGCTCACAGCCCTTGGGCCCCTTTGTCACAGCCCCTGCCCCGTGCTCACCTTGCAGTCACCTGTGTCCCAGCTGTCCATGGAGACTTCTTCAGGGCCTAGCTGTTTGATCTGGAAGTAAAGCAATTCTTAGAGAATCTCCTTTTGATGAGGTATATGTGATGAACAATGGGAAAATCACTTAAACAGAAGAATGGTTGCCTTCGTCTTGGGTGGGCAGTGTTTGTTCCTTCAGTCGGACATCATTCCTTCTCCTCCGTGTGAGAGGGGCTGCGTCTGACTCCGGGCGTCTGTGTGCATGAGAGTGGATGAAAACATTCCCTGTGTTTGACAGTATGTCAATATAGACAGATGCAGATCTATGACCGTGTACCACAAGATATGTTCGGTCTCAGTGTACCCGGTCTCTCCATTCATGTACATTTAACCACAAAGCTACTACCACACCCTGTGGCTTCCAGAGTAGTTGCGTTGGTCGGTGGGAGAAGGGCACCTGTCCGTCCGCTGCTGGGGCTGCTCCGCTTCGCAGTCTGCAGACACACAGAAGTCACACTGACGTGATCATCTGCACCCATTCAGATATAAATGGCTTCCTTACATTTCCTCCCTACAGCATGGAGACAAAGCATAGTTTAGATGAAAATATATACATGAGGAAACGTAGCACGTTTTGATTTCTCTAACGCCGGACGGTTTAGGTACAGGACACTGGGATGATTAATCTGTCACTTGAACTAGTTTGTTCTTTAACTGAGTTAGATGGAGCCGGCTCCCTTCCAGCTCTGTCTCTGTGCCTCTATGTAACACTTTTTTTTTGCTCTCTTCTAAAGCACAAAAGGGAGGTTTTCTTGTAGGATATTCCTTTTCTGTGGATTTACACTTTACTGATGTCAGTAGGAAAGGTGTATTATGTTTATATGTAAGCATCTCTCAATTCTTTTTTTTTTCTTAAAGATTTTATCTGTTTGACAGACAGAGATCACAAGTAGGCAGAGAGGCAGGTAGAGAGAGAGGGGGAAGCAGGCTTCCTGCTGAGCAGAGAGCCCGATGCGGGACTCAGTCCCGGGACCCTGAGATCATGACCTGAGCCGAAGGCAGGGGCTTAACCACTGAGCCACCCAGGCGCCCCACATCTCTTAATTCTTTATCAGTCTGTCAGTTCAGATACCTTTGGAAAATGCTAGAAAGTTATCACCTGTGTTGTTGAGATGAGTAGAAGTAGCATTTCAATGTGGTACATCTGCTTGACTCCTGTTCTTAAAAAAGCAAGAACGCCTGGCACTGTGGTTTTTTTGTTTTTCTGTTTTTTTGTTTTAGTTCACAACTGAGTGAAAACAGCCTCACTCAAATCTGATGGAAATTCAGGAGGAATATAGTGATGACAGTTTAGGGAGAAGAAGTCCTCCTGCTAGCACATAAGACATATCCATTGAAATCTATGTAATTAAATAATTTAATGCAAAAACAAATTTAAGCATGAAGTTTATAAATTACAAAATTTATGTTTAACTGTTGTGGCATCTCATTCTAGCCTTCACTTATTTTTTAAATAATTTTTATTAACATACAATATATTACTAGCCCCAGGGGTACAGGTCTGTGATTCATCAGTTTTGCACAGTTCACAGCACTCACCATAGCACATACCCTCCCCAGTGTCCATCAGCCAGCCACCCTGTCCCTAGCCCCCCACCCCCCAGCAACCCGCAGTGTGTTTCGTGAGATTAAGAGTCTCTTATGGTTTGTCTCCCTCCTGATCCCATCTTGTTTCATTTTTTCCTTCCCTGCCCCCCACATCCCCCTGCCCTGCCTCTCAAATTCCTCATATCAGAGAGATCATATGATTAGCCTTCACTTATTTTTAAATCTTTCTAGAAAGTACAGATGACACTAAAATCGTGAGTTATCGCTGGGAAGAAATTAGCGGCCCCTCCCGAGAGGAGAAGACCCCAGCCGACTCCCCTGTCCTCCATCTGTCTAACCTCATCCCTGGAAACTACACTTTCAGGCAAGTGGTTTCCCTACCTTTGCTGTGCTTTCCAAACTTGTGTTGTGGCTCTTTGCTTAAACTGATGCCTCTGCCCTACGCTGGGCTTCTTTTCGTTGTGACCAAGAGGTCAAGGCCATTACGTTTCCTTGGGAGTTTTGGTTGACAGCCACTTTCGACTGACATGCTCATGGATGATTCTGGATTGGAAGTGCCTGTTTGTTGGAAACATTTGGTTTTGGTTGTCAGGAATGTCCATGGATGGCATCTTTTTGCTGTGTTGTTATGTGACAGAAATTGTATATCTTCAAAGTGAGGCAGGGTTGTATGATTTATGTGTTTCTTAATCTTTTTCTTTTCATAACTTTTAAAGATACAACTGAAGTGTAATAAAATGTGCATGTTTAAAATATAACACTTGATGAGTTTTGACATGGGAATATCCGGAAAACCATCATCACAATCAAGATAAGAAACATGCCCCTCAACCCGGAAGTCTCCTCACGCCCCTTGTGTTTCTGTCTCTCTCTCCACTCTCTCCTTGGGCAACCCCGAACTGTTTTCTGTCAGTTTAAATTATTTTGTACTGTCTAGAATTTTACATAAATGAAATCATGTGATATGTACTCCTTTTTACTCGTGTTGTCTTCCATTCTGCAAATGATTTCAATTCATTCGTGTTGTCTCTATCGAGTCTGTTCCTTTTTATTGCTGAGTACTATTCCTATCTGTGGGTGCCACAATTTATTTATCCTTCCATCCAGTATGGACATCTGGGCTGTTTGCAGCTTTGAACTACTACAAATAAAGCCACCACTGACCTTTAAGTCTTCACATGGACAGATATTTTCATTTTTGTGGGGTAAATTGTGGAGTAGTGGGAAGGTCCGGTTCTAAGGTAAGTTTGTGTTTAACATTTTAAGAAATTGCCAAACTCTTTCCCAAGGTGGGTGCACCAAAGTACATTCCCACCTTCAGTATATGAACGTTCCAGTCTCCATGTCCTCACCAATACTTGATATAGTCAGTCTTTTTTATTTTATTTAATTTAATGAGTGGTAGTATCTCATTATGGTTTTAATTTGTATTTTCTTGATGACTAATGATATTAAGCATATTTTCAGCTGCTTATTGGTCATTCATATACTTATTCTGTGAAGTATCCCTTTCCTATTTTATTTTTTTAAATGTTCCCTTTATTTTTTTAAGTGAACTACCCCAACATGGAGCTCGAACTCATAACCCTAAGGCTAAGGATCGCACATGCTCTATCAACTGAGCCACCAGGTGCCCCCCCTTTCCTTATTTAAAGAATTGCATTGTTTGTCTTATTTAGTTTTAAGAGTCCTTATACATTCTTTTTAAAAGTTTTTATTTATTTATTTGACACAGAGAGAGATTGGGCACACAAGTAGGGGAAGTAGCAGCAGAAGGAGAGGAAGAAGCTGTCTTCCTGCTGAGCAGGGAGCCCAGCATGGGGCTCGATCCCAGCGCTCTGGGATCATGACCTGAGCCGAAGGCAGAGGCTTAATCGGCTAAGCCACCCAGGCGCCCCAAGTCTTTATACATTCTGAAACAAGCCCATTATTTTATATATGTGTGGATATTTCCTGCCAGTATATGATTTTTTTTTTATTTTTTTAATGTTTCAATAGCTTCTCAACCTTTTGGCTAAGATCAACTGTATTTTATTAATCTTCGAAAGAGCAGGAATTTTATGTTTTGATGAAGTCTAATTCATCAATTTTTTTTCTTTTTCATGTTTTTTGTGTTCTAATTAAGTAATCTTTGCCTGTCCTAGGATAGTAAAGATTTCCTCCTATGTTTTTTCTAGAACTTCTATAGTTCTAGGTTTTTATATTTAGATCTATGATGTCTTTTGAGTTACTTTTATGTATTGTGTGGTATTTTTGAATGTTTAATCAACCTTGCATTCATGGGGTAAATGGTATTTGCTCATGATATCCTTTTTATATAGCATTGGATTAAATTTGCTAATATTTTGGTAAGGATTTTTTGTCTACATGAGAGATATTGGTTAATGCTGTTCTCTCTTTTTTTTTTGCAATGTCTATGTCAACTTTGGGTATGAGGATCACACTGGCCTAATGAAACAAGGTGACCTGTGATCGATCCTCTTCTACTTTCTGAAACATTTGTGAACAGCTGGTAGTATTTCTTCCTTGAATGTTTGATAGAATTCCCAGTGAAATCACTGGGTCTGGAGTTTTCTTTCTGGGGAAGTTTTTGATAGGAAATGCAATTTTTAAAATAGTTGTATGGCTATTTATATTTTCTGTTGCTTTTTTTTTTTTCTTGTGTAGGTTTTTGGTAAGTTGTATTTTGCAAGAAATTTGTTCCATCTAATTTGTCAAATTTGTTGGCACAAAGGGTTTTATAGTATTTTCATATTATCCTTTCATACCCATTAGAACTGTGGTGATAAGCCCTTTTTCATTTACTTTATTGGTGACCTATGTTATCTCTTTTCTGATCAATCTAATTATGAATTTTGTTAATTTTGTTTATCTTTCCACAGAACCCCAACCAGAGCTGTGTTAATTTTGTCTAAGTTGTTGGTTTCTGCTCATATCTTTATTATTTCTTTACTTCTATTAACTTTTGATTCACTTTGTTCTTCTAAGTTCTTAGAGTAGAATCTTGGATCATTCATATTAGATCGTTCTTAAATGTCTGTAAAGCTTTTAAAACTTTAATTTTCTTCTAAGTACTCTTTAACTGCATCCTACATATTTTGATTTAACTATATTTTTAAGGTCTCATATACTCAATTAAGAATCTACTGGTTTCAGAGCAGCCCACCTGTCCATGCGTCCATATATTTATGAATCTCCCGAAGTCTGCGTAGGTTTAGAAACTCCCAAGCTTCTGACTGGATTCATCTTTGACTAAACAGTTCACAGAGGTGCTCTGGAGTGTTTTATGTTGTACACGTGTCATGAAAATGTTTGTTTTAGTTTATTCGAAATCTCAGCATAAGAAGTAGTTTACCCCATTAGGATGGCCATTATTTAAAAAAAAAAAAAAAAAGGAAAATAAGTGTTGGTGAGGATGTGGTGTCATGGGAACACTTGGGCGCTGCTGGTGCGAAAGTAAAACGGTGCACCCGTGTGGAGAATAGCGTGTCAGCTCCTCACACATCCACCGTGGAATTACTTGTACACTCGTTGTCTGTTTGGGTTGTTATAACAAAAATACTGTAAATTGGGGGCGCCTGGGTGGCTCAGTTGGTTAAGCGACTGCCTTCGGCTCAGGTCATGATCCTGGAGTCCTGGGATTGAGTCCCACATCAGACTCCCTGCTCGGCAGGGAGTCTGCTTCTCCCGCTGATCTCTCTCCTCTCATGCTCGCTCGCTCTCTCTCTCTCAAATAAATAAAATCATTAAAAAAAATACTGTAAATTGGGTGGCTTCTAAATGACAGAAATTTGTTTCTCATGAGCAGTACAAGGGCAGACTGGGCAGTACAAGATCAAGGTGCTGGCCAATTGGGTGTGTGGTGAAGGCCAGTTTCCTGGTTTATAGGTGGCCGTCTTCTCCCTGTGCCCTCACATGGCAGGAGGGGTGGGGGTGTCTCCTAGGTCTCTTACAAGGGCGCTAATCCCATTCTCTGCCCTCATTAACTAATCACCTCTTGAAGGTCCCACTCCAAGTACCGGTCACATTAGGGATTAGGTTTCTTCATAAGAATTTAAGCAGGGGGGACACAGATACTCAGTCTGTAACTTCACCAATGTTCATGCCACTTTATGAGGTCCTTTTGATTCTTTTTTTAAAAATTTCAACTTTTTATTTAAATTCTAATTAGTTGACATATAATGTAATATTGGTTTTAGGAGTAGAATTCATTGATTCATCACTTACATGTAACACCCAGTGCTCATTACATCACGTGCCCTCCTTAATGCCCATCACCCAGTTACCCCGTCCTCCGCATTCTCCTGCCCTCCAGCAACCCTCAGTTTGTCTGTGTAGTTCAGAGTCTCCCATGGTTTGCCTCCCTTTCTCTTAATTTTTTTTTCTTCCTTCCCCTATGTCCATCTGTTTTGTTTCTTAAATTCCACATATGAGTGAAATCATATAATTTTGTCTTTCTCTGACTTATTTCACTTAGCATAGTACTTTCAAGCTCCATCCACATCATTGCAAGTGGCAAGAATTCATCCTTTCTGATGGCTGAGTGATATTCCATTGTATATATATCACATCTGCTTTATCCATTCATCAGCCGATGGACATTTGGGATGCTTCCATAATTTGGCTATTGTTGATAATATTGCTATAAACAACGGGGTGCATGTGCCCCTTTGAATTAGTATTTTTGTATCCTTTGGGTAAATACCTAGTAGTGTAGTTGCTGGGTCGTAGGGTAGCTCTATTTTTAACTTTTTGAGGAATCTCCACACTGTTTTCCAGAGTGGCTGCACCAGCTTGCATTCCCACCGACAGTGTAGGAGGGTTCCCCTTTCTCTGCATCCTCGCCAACACCTGTCCTTTCCTGACTTGTTAATTTTAGCCATTCAGACTGGTGTGAGGTGATATCTCATTGTGGTTTTGATTTGCATTTCCCTGATGCTGAGTGATGTTGAGTACTTTTTCACGTGTCTGTTAGCCATCTGGATGTCTTCTTTGCCGAAATGTCTGTTCATGTCTTCTGCCCATTTCTTGATTGGATTATTTGTTCTTCAGGTGTTGAGTTTGATCAGTTCTTTATAGATTTTGCATATTAGCCCTTTATCTGATATGTCATTTGCAAATATCTTCTTCCATGCCATGGGTAGCTTAGTCTTATTGACTTTTTCCTTTGCTGTGCAGAAGTTTTTATCTTGATGAAATCCCAGTAGTTCATTTTTGCTTTTGTTTCCCTTGCCTCCGGAGACATGCCTAGTGACAAGTTGCTCTGGCCAAGGTCACAGAGGTTGCTGCCTGTGCTCTCTAGGATTTTGATGGATTCCTATCTCACATTTAGGTGTTTCATCCATTTTGAGTTTATTTTTGTGC